TCCTGCTTCTGAAATTGTTTGTTCCCAACCTTCTTCCATTTGCAGAAGGATCATTGTGAACTAAAATACTAACACTGATTACTGAATCAATTTATCCTCTTTAGGCCTGAGAGTTTGTTTTGGAGTCACGGAGTTTACCACTAAAAATTGACAATGTTTGACTAACTTACCTGACCAGACCACCACACCATGTTGAAATATAAATGCTAAATTGCATTCTTTGTTAAATCTTGCTGATTTCAGTGGTTTGCAAAACATACTTGAGAATAGAATTTGGTCTCCTCTCTTTAGCCTGAGGCTGATGATAATTCCAAATGCATAATTGTCAGCAGAAGAAGCTGGTAGAGGTTTTACATTTTGATCTTGCGACCTTGTGGTTAGAACATGTGTCAGTTTGCCGTGTTTGATTATCCTAGCTGTGCAAAATCATACCTTGCTTATTTTTCAGTTCTGTAAAATGTGTTTTGGAAACTTGTCCCTCTAGGTTGTCTTGTTCTTGATAATGTTAATTATGCGCAAACGAGTCGCTCTCACCATTGCCTTGTTCCACGTGGCCGGCAAGGTCTTCATTCACCTGCCACTGCTAGTCTTCCAGCCATTCTGGACATTCTTTGTGCTTGCCCTCTTCTGGACATACTGGATCGCAGTCTTGCTTTTCCTGGGTACTACAGGTAAGAGCTACCAGGTTTATTTTAAATAAATTCCACTTAATTTTTTTTTTATGTTTTCAGACAGAGTTGGTTAAAAAGCATGTAGCAAGCTCTAGAAAAAAAAACAAACACATATTATTCTTCTGTTCTTGTCTGCTTTAGTGACTTTAAAACGCCTGCTTCAAGAAAGATGTGCGTTTGAGTCTGTGTTCCCAGGATTTTACTTTGTGCCTTGGGCTGGCTTTTTGATTTCATGCAAGTTGACGTGCTGCAAACCACAAGATTCCATTAATAAGACTGCTATAATAATTTTTCAAATAGTCCCCTCTAATTTTCCACAAATGGGTTAAAAGCAGCCAAATCTTGCAGCTAATCTTAGGAATTATTGTAATGTAGCCAGCACTGACACAGATGAAGGCATATTAATGAAAGGGCTGTTGCACACAATTACTGTTTCCCAAAATGGAATTAGTTTTCAATTGTTTATAACTCAAGTGTCCAGTATTATTCCAGCATTTTCCAGGATTATTAGGGAGATTTTTCTCCTGTTTCTGTGCTGTATTCTGAGAGCAACCACAGTACTCTCAGTTTCTGCCTGCTGTGAAGAATATAGAAGACGAGAACTTTCTTTGTATTCAGAGTCTGACAAGTTTCTGGAATTAGTTGAACCTATGAGTCCAAATCTTAGTTACTTCAACAGAGAAACCTAGCAACCGCTTTTTAAAATGGGAAATTGTAGGCAATGGAGACCATCATTCATTATTAAAACTGTAGAATTTTGAAATTTATAGCTTGCTGCTGATCTGAAAGTAGCAGTGTTTCAGGTCACAGAGCCATTTCAGGATAATACAAGATAAGTATTTTTTATTTCATAGCCTGAATTCCTAGCAAGAGATGGAAGTAATAGAATTCGCATGTTATTGTTCTCATTACTGTTGAAATTTTTAGTTTTCATTACATGCTCTGCTATGTGCGAAAAATGTTCGCCTCTGAAAGTGAGTTAAGCCTCAATCCCATACTTCACTCTGTGAGTTAAAGATCACTGCACAGGGACTAAATTTGTAGCAGAATTTAGGCTAGTATTTTCTTTTACTGACAGAACTCTTCAATTGACCTTGATTCTGAAAGGAGTAATTTATGCTTTTAGCTTTATATACACCCAGTATCTTCACCGGTATCAGTTAAAATCTTTGTGCAGATAAGGCCAGCTCTAATTCTAAACCAGGAGAACTTGTTTTTGTGTGGGAAGAAGCCTACACTTATGAAGAGCTTGCTTGCTAAAACCAAAATTATTTCAATAGTTGAGTGTATTCACAAGAAAATACTAATTTTTTTTATGTGTGTATGTGCAAGTGCAGCCCAGAAAGCCAACCATATCCTGGGCTACATCAAAAGTAGTGTGGCCAGTAGGTCAAGCGAGGTGATTCTCCCCCTCTACTCCACTGTTATGAGACCCCACCTGGAGTACTGCATCCAGCTCTGGAGCCACCAACACAAGAAGGGCATGGACCTGTTGGAGCAGGTCCAAAGGAGGGCCATGAAGATGATCAGAGGGCTAGAGCACCTCTCCTATGAGGACAGGCTGAGAGAGTTGGGGTTGTTCAGTCTGGAGAAGAGAAGGTTCCAGGGAGACCTCCTTGCAGCCTTCTAGCATGTGAAAGGGGCCTACATGAGAGCTTGTGAGGGACTGTTTTACACAGACTTTTAGTGATAAGATGAAAGGTAATGGATTCAAACTTGAAAAGGGTAGATTTAGATGCAGTGTAAGGAAGAAGTTCTTCACTATGAGGGTGTTGAGACACTGGGACAGGTTGCCCAGGGAATCTGTGGATGCTTCATCACTGGTGGTACTCAAGATCCAGCTGGATGGGGCCTTCACAATGTGGTCTAGTGGGAGGTGTCCCTGCCCATTGCAGAGGGGTTGGAACTAGATGATTTTTAAGGTCCCTTCCAACCCAAAGTACTCTGTGGTTCTATGTAAGGATAAAAGCATAGCTGAGATGGAGAAGATGCTAATCAATGCTAAGTCCAAACAATGGTTTTGAGTTAAAGGTTTTATACACATGATGTTACTTTTAGTATTTTTCTGAATCTCATCAGCTGTTCATGTAACTGTTGTATATGATGAAACATCTCAATGTGGGCTAACATACTGAAAGAGAGCTTCTCCAAGGTCTTTACTGACATGTACTGTCAGTCTCAGTATATGATATTGCTATTTAGATTAGAAAGCTAGCAGGTTTCTGAATGCATTGTATCATATGTTTAGAATATCTAAAGCTGCTCCTTATGTCTGTAAATACCTTTAAAGATACAAATCTTGCTGAAATACATGCACAAAGGCTTACTGTAAGGAGAAAAAGTGATTGTTAATGTTGGCATAATGTAAGGAGCTATGAAGTTTAATATTGATTCTCACTATGTGAATAATACTAACAGAATAGCACTGAAATTCAGAATGTCTGAAAGCAAACTCCTGTTATGTTTAATGAGAAGAATTTTTTGCTTCTTGATGGTGGTTAGGTTTGGAAATTTTCACCATGCAGCTAAAAGTCTTGCAGGGTTTTGACTGTGCTTAGAATATTTTTTTAGAGCTTTTTTAAAATGCTGTTATGGTGATTGTGTCAAAGCTGTGTCTTAGGAACTATCTTCCTAAACATAACATTTAGAACTATCAGTAGAAGCTAAGAGAGATTCTGCTATAGATGGTGAAGAACTGAAATACCATGTGCTTCCTTCTTTCTGAGTTGGTGTAAGCACCATTTTCATTTTTACCCTAACTTATTTCTAGGTAGTCCTGTCCCAAATGAAGAAGGATTTGTTGAATTTCAGATGGTAGGTCCTTTGAAATATATGTGGTGGTACCATGTAGTGGGACTCGTCTGGATCAGCGAGTTTATCCTAGCCTGTCAGCAGATGACAGTAGCAGGGGCTGTTGTGACGTACTATTTTACAAGGTAAGGACAACTTAGACAGCTCTGCTGTGAGTAGCCTAGAAATGGAATTATCAGAAATAATGAGGGACAGAGCTTTTGGGGAGATTACTTGCTTCTGTCCTGAAAGCTAGAGAACAGTTGAATTATATTGACTCTGTAAATAGTGTCAAGTCCTAAATTAATCTGTTTTGCTGGTCATAGATGATATTCTTGATGTTTATGACTGGAAGTCTTGTTTGCCTTGTAACCTGTGCACATTGTGTGGACGTAGATGGTTGTTTACAAAGCAAGATGCACCTGGAAGGTCATCTGTGATGCAAATAATTAATGCAGATAAGCTTGGTGGAGAAAAAAAAAATATTGAAAGCAATTGTTTATTATTTTAATTGCAAAACAGTGCCCTTTATTTATGATGCATCATTAATCTTTCTTACACAGCATTACTTAAGGCCTTATTAGATTCATCATTTACATATAGAGTTTGACAAGATCACGTACAAATTAAAAGTCATACAAAATACCTGTGCATTAAGGCTCCATATTTCATTGCTATATTTGTGTGCTAAATTGTGTATCAAGGCATACTTTACACTGGCTGTTCTGCATGTATCTGCTCTCTGTTCAAGGAGGTAACACTAATTATTAAGTAATTACCAACCTTCAGGCACAAGAATTTTGCTTCACAGAGGTAAGAAACTTGATTTCAGAAATGCAGACTTAGTATACCTCTCTAGTATTGGTAAACTTCTGAAATTGAGACTAATTAAAATATACCTTAAATAAGTGAAAACTGAATGGGTTTTTTGAACCATTTAGAACGCAGTTTTTTCAGGAAAAAGGTAGTATGAGGTGCTTTGTTAGGATTTCGTGAGAATAAATGATATTTCAGTGACCTGAAGTATTACATTTTGGTATGCAGAGCAGAACTATGGCAATATTTTTGGTGAGTAAAAGAAGCAAGTTCATTAATACCTGTTTTGTAAAAGTATAGTTTAATGAAGGTTCTCTGCATGTCATCCTAGATGTAATAGTTCACAATACATTCTAAAAAAAATCAAACAAACGAACAACAAAAACCCACGCCATTGTTCAGGAACTAGATAAGTAATTTTATTTCATAATTTCTCAAAATCTTTTCAAAACAATATAAATACAACTCCTCTGGATAAAGCGTGGCATGAGTAGAGGATGTTGGCAAGATATTTAGCAATGGTGGTTTACTTAAGAAAGGAAAACCAGTATGTTGGAATGTTGCTGTCCCCACAACAACAACAACAAAACATTAGTATCCTAACTACGTGTGTAGTTCAGCTAGTGGTTTTTTGTAAATGTTTTCAGGCTTTAATATGAAGAATATTGCACATAAAAATTGCTAGTGATATCCAGCCGCCACACTCGTGATGTGCTTTTAGGAGTTTGAACTAATTTTAAAAATTAGTTTTTAAATAATGCATTCAGATATTTTTCAAGTGCATGAGTCAGATCACAAATGTTTAATTGGTTTGTCTTTTTAATTGAGACTCTTATCTGAATTAAATTCGGTTCCATATCTGCCTTAGTCCTTAAAACAGTATCAAAGGCAAGGAATTAATTTACTGTGCTGACAGAAATTCTGTTATTTTATTGATGATGAAGTCTTCCAGTATACCAATGAAATACATCTATGAAGTTGCTATAAGATGTTACAGAGATGTAATCTTGTGAATAATTAAACTAGACTGGGTAAAGAACTAGGAAAATACAGAGAGGGTAAATTCACATCAAAATAGATGGCTTAGCAATGTGTATGCTTCATCTGTAAGCTTATGTATTTACTTTCACCTGAGGGTGAATGTTTTTTTTTCTGAACTTTATCCTGTCATTCCATAAGAGGGATTTTATTTTAAGTTAGGAAATACTCATTTCTCCCTAGTGTTATCCTTTTCTGTATTTTAAGGTGCAATTCTAATCTGAAGAGTGGCTTAGTGAGAAAGGGCCGTTAGTTTGAACTTCCCCATTGTTTTGTCTATTAGCAGCTTTCCACAGCAAATGAGATGCTGGGAGAATGTTTTGTGTACATTCACTGTTTATTCACCTTAGCCAGATGGATTCCTTTCAGCTTGGGCAATAACACGCCTCAGGGTGTTCTGCATTGGAGACTCTGCCCTTGGTTATATTTACCTCAAAAGGAGGAAGTGGTTGGGTTGCCTCAAGGCTCAGATCTTTTAGGTGATTCTGCCCAAAAGGGGAATAGAATTTGGCTTCCCCCACCTGAGCTCTAAAAGTTAATTGGAAGAAAATACAATGTAAGCCTATTCTGATGGTTAATATCTCAGAATTAAGTTATGCAGATGTTAGTTTCGTGGAAGAAGACTCTACTTTTTTTTTTTTTTTTTTTTTTTTTTAAATGCAACTTACATGAACCTAACTTTCTTGCAAGGTGGTGAGTTATTTTATATTTGGAATGTTAGCACCTGTTCCTTTAATACACTTCTTCTTACATTCATATTCCTAATAAAGATGAAGATCCCTTCTTTAAATTTTAAATAGAGCTGTTCTTTGAGCAAGAAATATAAGTGGCTTCCTTGGCTGGTAATACAGATAGAAACTTTAAGAGGGTGTTGTTTCAAAACTGTTAAAGTGAGTGTTCATCTAATAAATTAAAAATATTGTAGCCATGTTGCAATAAAATAGCTTGTTTTAAGGCTTACTAGTTGGTTCCTTCAGGATATAATAGCCAAATCAGAAAGGCAAAACATCTGAGAAAAGAATTTTCTTAATAAATAAAACCAGTAATACCCTCTTCAAAGTCTCCACAAAGACTTCCAGCACAACAGAAGTGAAAAGGAAGGAATTTTGTCAATATTCCAACTGAAAAAACACTAGTGTTGTTTCTCACTTCTTTGGAAGATTTTGAATTGCACACCATCAAATATGGTTTTATAGAAACTGCCGGTTGGCAATAGTAGTAATGTAATGCCGATATTGGTAATGCCAACCACTAGTAATACTGCCCTTAAGACATACTGATTCTTTATCCAATTCCTATTAATTCATTAGAGCGTAAACTGTGAGTTGCACAGACTGCCAGTATGGAGTGAACAGTATACCCTGAAAGCTAGTATGAGGGCAATACATTCATTTGGCACATTGGTTCATTGAGAATTTTTAGAACGTCAAGACGATACTGCATACGTACTGATCATTCTGTTTTATTCTTTCTCTTTTCAACAGGGAGAAAAGGAATCTGCCATTTACTCCTATTCTGGCATCTGTTAATCGCCTTGTTTGTTACCACCTAGGAACAGTAGCAAAGGGGTCTTTCATTATCACACTAGTGAAGATACCACGAATGATTCTTATGTATATTCATACACAGCTGAAAGGAAAAGTAAGATAAATAGATTCCATTTTCTTACAGACTCTAAAGGCCTGACACTTTTACAGCTAATTTAGTTTAATTTGTGTGATAGGTTGGAAGTCTTGTTTTGGAATATCTGGTCTTTAAGGGACCATAGGGCAGAGAAGCACTACTTAAATTGTCAAGATGAGTCTCAGCTACTGAAACACAGAAGAATACTGCTTGGTTAAGATCTGTTGGGTTTACTCTTTATTCTTCTTTTCCCACATCCTGTGCTTTCCTAGGAAAATGCCTGTGCTCGCTGTATGCTTAAAGCCTGCATCTGCTGCCTTTGGTGTCTAGAAAAGTGCCTGACCTACTTAAATCAGGTAAGATTTTTCAATATTCAAGTTTTATGTAAGGGCTGATAATATATTTATTTTCCCAGAATGCAGTCTCAGGCTTGACCCATTATGTGTTGTACTTTGGAACTGAACTTGAAAGATGTTACATCAGTCTTGTCTCCATTACTGAAATTACACTGCAAATCACTACATTAGTCTTTGTTTACATTTCAAAGGAGAAAAATAGCCAGTATTCATCTTTGTGACCATGGTATCTCAGATTTATAACAATTCGTTTAGTGGTTGAAGATGTTCCCACTTATGTCCACTGTGTCAAACCAAATCTGAGTTTCAAAATATGTTTGCTATGAAAAGAGAGTGAAGCTTTTCTAGGTATAATATTTAATGATCACACAATGGAAAAACTGTACATAACATCAAACTGTCATAATCATCTACAAAGTGGGAAAAGAGCCCACCTCTGTTAAGTACATCTATACATGTTCCTCTAATATCTTATTCACTGTTGCTCATCTTTTTGCTTGTGGAAATATAGCATATAAAATGAGCCAAAAAAAGCATTCTAAAAACCCCAGTGCACTTGAAAATTGTCCTGGATAACCTTGAATGTAGTCTAGTGTCCTATCTAGAAATTATCTTGGTGAGCTTGTGTGACTCTCAAAATCTTTTGTATTTCCAGAATATTTTTTCTAACTACTTAAATGCTGTAGTTATGCCACTGTTCACCTCCTCCTGCAGAGAAATTTCAAATTCTGTTTAATTAGGTTTTTGGAATAAACTTGTTAGTGCATAAGTTAGGATCGAGGGAGGAGAAGAAGAGTAATTCTCTGCCTTGTTTAGTCTCATGTCAGCTGGTACATACTGCTTGATTTAACAACTCCTAAGGGAATCTTTGCTCGTCAACATATGGCTTAAATGACTTATGCAGAAGCTGTATTTTTCTTCTCTCCTCCCCTCCATCCGCATCTGAAGTACCTGATCATTCCACGAATAAATCTTCAATCTTCTTTCCCCAGAACGCGTATACAGCCACAGCCATCAACAGCACCAACTTCTGCACCTCAGCAAAGGATGCCTTTGTTATTCTAGTGGAAAATGCTTTGCGAGTGGCTGCCATAAACACAGTTGGGGATTTTATGCTATTTTTAGGAAAGGTATGTCTGCCTGTATGCAGTTGTTATGGACCTACATGGTAGGCAGTTTTCCTTAGCAATTTCTTGCTAAGATACAAAATACCCCAGATACAAAATACCTTAAAATTCCTGTTTCTTAGCATACATTTTATCACATCTAGCTGCATCTTATCAGGAAGGCACTGTGCAGTGTAGGGGAGATAAACAGATGATCCATTTATGTTAACTAAAAGTAGTTAGAAAGGAATAACTGAAAATGATGATGCCATTTGCATGAATTTATTTTTAGGGAGTCAAGAGCAAAGTGTTTAGAAGTTCTACGATTTTGATTGGTTTTGTGGTTAAAACACAGAATTGTAAGGAAAGGAAGGTTTTGCTCTAAATTCTCTTCAATAAGGGCTCTCCACATCTGTGCTTAAAACTGACACATTATGGATCATTGTTTATGACAAAGCTGGAGTGGAGTGTAGGACTACTATGAGGAACTGCCATCTTAAGTAACAGAGTTACCTCTACTCTGAGAATTAAGAGGAGACTAGAATAATTGCTGTGGTCAGTCAGCTTTTTGGGTTGCCAACTGATGGAGATATACTTTGTGGAAACTTAATCAAGTGAATTTTTCCTATCTTTCAAAGGATTTTGTGATGTTATTTACTAAAACTATTAATACCAATGCACCTAAACCACCTGTACCTAAGCATTCAAAAATTGTCTTTCTTACTCTGTTCTTGTACTTTTATTAAGTCAAAGTAGAGTGGGCTGAACTTTTAATCCAGTAATGAAGTCAATAAGATGTGAGAAGAAATAAAGACATAATGAAGATACAGGTGACTGGGAGACCATGAAATTATATAATGTGGTGTGACTCTGAGAAGTGTTAGGAAACACCTCTTTGAAAAGATGTCTTTCAGATTATTAGAGAAATGCACAGGTGACAGAAATGTTGACATGGACCATGTGGCATATAAAATATAGTAACAGCTAGACCAATGTTGATTGGTAGCATGAGGTTCTGGGTTTTTTACTATTGATAGCAAAAAGTTCTTTTTTATAGGAATATTCTGTAACATTAGAACTATGACAGCAGGATATAAATGTCATTTGCTCTGAAAAATACCTTTTGTGTTGATGGATGTCTTTGAAACTATTCTGATTTGGGCATGTGGGGCCAATGAATAAAATGTCCTTTACACTTCGGAATATGGGGGATCCAGGAGGTAAAGATATCATTACTACTAGATCTGTACCATCTAGTTCTAGCCCTGGCAGAGCAAGAAGCACATAGGCTAAAAAAAAAACCAACCCAATAATATAAAAAGGCTTCTGCCATTACACTTGTCTGCTGTTTCCTTCCTTCCTCAGGTCCTGATTGTCTGCAGTACAGGTTTGGCTGGGATTATGTTGCTGAATTACCAACGGGATTACACCATCTGGGTGCTGCCCCTCATCATTGTCTGCCTCTTTGCATTCCTGGTTGCTCACTGCTTCCTTTCCATTTATGAAATGGTTGTTGATGTCCTTTTCTTATGTTTTGCCATCGACACAAAATACAATGATGGGAGTCCTGGGAGGGAATTCTACATGGATAAAGTTCTCATGGTAAGCTTCTCCTTGCTCTCTAAGCCTAAGGATGTGGTTCCATACAATGGGTATTTTGACACCGGAATGAACTCACTAGCTGAGTTTAATGTGCTGTTTTCTTTTATCACCTGGGTTACCTTGCTGTCTTATTCATGGCTTGATCAGCAAACAGTGTGATATGAGGAGCATTACAGGATGCTTCGTTCCCTCGATGTCACTGGTATTGGCTTCTATTTGCTGTCTGTCAGATGAGCAGAGTCATAATCTTGGGCATAATTTCTTGTAAATGATACAGTACAGAATGGAAAGAAGCAAAACAAGGGGTAAAATCTTGGGTTTTGTACATTCCCAAGAAGGACCTTTTCTGATATGTAGAAAAGAAAAAATAGTAGAGTATTCTACCCTCTACACAGGTAATGACCACACTGGATTTCTTACTCTGTCAGACAGACAGCAACCAGAATTTGACTCACGGTCTCTTCTCCACTAAACCAACAGTTCGTATATTCTGCTATGTTGAGGCATTCTATGCAATTCAGATCTTCTTTGTTTGTTCCATTTTATTCCCTGATTGCTCTAGTTAGAGATCAAGATGTAAAAATTCTGCTCCTCAAGCCCTTCAGTTAGTTGTTGAGTAGGTAATTTTCTTGACAATACTTAGGTGACAACTGTAGAATATGTCCCTATAAAATGTAACCCAGTGTGTAGGCTAGTGGAAGACTCATGACTTCTTAGCACGATTTGTTGTTCCAGATTACCTGCTGGAAATCCATGCCAAGAATTTGACGTTAATTTTTTTTATAAAACACGATAGAACCTGGAGTATATAGTAAAATGGCAGCTGACGAGTTGCTTTTTAACACAATATAAGCATGAAAGGCAGCATGCTGACTCAGAAGACAGCACAGATAAGTCATAAAAGTGTTGTGGATTTATTTTGCCAGCAGTTGAAATTTGCTACAGAATGCTTGCCTTTAGGAGGAAAAATGACATAAAATTGAATTAGCACCTCTGCTAATCTCTGTCAATAGGTGATTGTGATCTGGTGAAAAAGTAAAGAGATTGAGTGGAGGGAAGTTAGGAAAACCAACGAGACTTTGCAAGCAATTATCTTCAAGTGCTTCTGTTTGATAGAGTTCTAATAATACGCACGGTTCAGAGGATAGAATGTAGTAACTGGGATCTCGGGGTGTTTTTTTGTTGATTTTTTTTTTTGACAACCACCGTTCTACCTTCCATTCATATGAAGGAGAGTTTTGTGTGGTTAGTGTTAAAGCTTTAACAGCACAAAAGGCAAATAACCTGTCCAGCTTTGATAATTAAATGAGGAAGACCTCTGTGGCTGTTTGGCTGGCTGTTTTGATACTTTGTGGGTAAGTCTGAGCAAGAGAAGTTGGAGGGGCAAGTTCTGTGAACATTTTGAGCAGTTGTGTCTGGAAGTTTTGTCTTGAGATTTGATGTTTGGAGTTTGCCCTAAGAAAGCACTTTTCACTTCATTACTGTTTTTCAGGAGTTTGTGGAGAACAGTAGGAAATCTATGAAAGAAGCTGGCCGAGGAGGTGGAGCTGAGGGCAGAGAGCTGAAACCAATGGTAGGTGCAGATGAGGAGGTGGCGATCCTCCAAGAGTTTCACTTTTACTTCTTCTCCCTCTTTGTCTTTACTGACTGCACTTCTTCAGGAGAAGTTTTTGTTCTCTGTATCACTCAAGATGTTCTGCTTTTTCTGTTTGTGAGCTTGCCTATCACCTGGATGGCAGAGTTTTTGTCACAGCTGAGACCATCTCCTGTAAAAGTAAGATGAAAGGAACTGTGTCATATGAAACAAGTGCAGTATCATTTCGCTAAGACTAGTACTGTGTGCTATGTGGTATACATAGACAGGCTCACTTGCTGAGTACTCTCAAAATAAGACGGCTCTGGAATTCATTGGGCTGTTCTGACTTTAGTCCTCTTTTCAGCCCTGAGCTGAACAATTTTTGTACATATTAATTCATCATAAAAGCCTGAAGAACACTACTGAGCACATCCATTGTTGCAAAGTAGGACCAGGCATTTAAAGCTCTCACCAAATTAGTTTATACAATGCCAAGGGATTGGTTATGGTGATTCCTTTCAACCTGCTCGAATGACATTTCTCCCAGTTGTTTGTTTTTATTGCCAACTACTTATGTTGCTTGTCTCTTGTGTGCTCTTTCCATCTCACACTGTCAGATACACAGACAGTGAACAGTGCATCATTTATGCTTCTGCAGCCTGTTTTACTTATGGTGTGCCTGTTAGGAAGGCATTGCATGTCTGAGTAGCCTGGAATAAGGAACAGCTGTACATGGTACAGATAACAGATAGGCGGATGAGTTTGGAAAGTGGAGAACTGAGAGCGTATGGTGGAGAGCCAGGCTGGGCAAGGTATGACTTGTCATCGTGCAATATGATTTTGTGAAATAAAACATTCTTCCATCATTACTTTCTCCCAAGTATTTGGGCCTGACTCAGTTCCTTACCGTGTGGACAGTTTTTTAACCTAATGGAATCTAAATAACTGTGTACTAACAGTAGAATTTTTTTTTTTTAAATTGTGTATGTGAAGCCACGTTGCATGAGCACTTTTTGTCCAAGCTGTAAGGGGTCCTTTCTGTAGAGTCGATAGATGTGTAGCTTTGCGTGTTTTTCTGTTTCATTATAGCATACCAGTTTCTAGGTTTGCTTATGCCTAAATGCTGCTGTGTTTATACATCTAAAAAACTAATTCTATAGTCATTTACTGTTTTCTTTGGGAGTAATTCTAGCTGTTCAAACAGACATTAATGTTGGGATTTTAAGGGTGCTTTAAAGACTTAGATGTAAAGCTTCCATTAAAACAATTGAGAACTGGGTGTGCAAACTCTCTATAGTCACAGGCACAAAAAGTCTCAGTCCAAAATTTCATTATGTTCGCCTCTAATTCAAACAACTGTTTTACCTTAAGGGATTTTCTGCCTACACTCTTCATCAGTGCTAGCACAGACCACTACTTACTCTTCTGTACTTGACTGCGCAAAGCTTGGATGTTAAAACCCTTTTTTCACCCTGCCTTGTAAAAGGGCAAACCATGTACTTGCAATTCAAGGGTGGCCTTGTTCTCTTAGAAACTCTGCTATAGGCACTCGAGCCTGGCACTGTCTGAAAGTCCTCCTAGGACTGCTGGGGAAGATGCTGAGCATTTGGGGCTCAGTCTGAGTGTCACCTGCTGAATTACTCCCAATTCTTCTGCTCATGTGATTGTCTTATCTGGAACTGATTTGGCCTTGTTTTCTCAAATGGTCTTCCATTCTTGGGTGTTCAGCTCCAATGGAATAGATTCTGAAATACTAGGATCTCAATTCCTGACAAATATGGGACGCAGCAGTTACTTCCATGAAATTTCTGATACCTTTTCCCAAAGCACTGATAAAAGCCGCAGTTGCATCTGGTCTAGGATCATTCATAAGTCTGTTCTGTATTAGCAGTTCCCATAGTCCCAAAATTGGGTGTCTGAAAATTAGATTAATTTTTCTTTATTATTTTCTTCTTTCTTAAAAGTAGACTCTTTACTGGTTTGCTTCAATCTCCTTGAAACGTGGGTATTTCTTTAGATATGACTATCAGTTCTAGAAGTGAAATGCCCTAAGTGCAGTTTTATTTTAAATAGGTATTAGTAGCAGAAATAGGAAACACGTAGGACCTTCTGGTCTTATATCAAGGCACAAGAAAAAAACAGCTTTTCACGCTTCTTTATGGTTTCCAGTGACCCCTTTGATTCAGTTTCTTCTTGTCCTATAGCATTTGTCTAAGACTATATTGTATGACTTTGTTT